ATTGAAAATGTTTAGTGCAAGTATAAATCTGATCAAAGCTAAATAAACACAAGGCATGCTTTTTAAAACTTGTTAAATAAATATAGTTAAAATAATAAAAAATGAATAAATAGTAACAAATTATTAAAATAATACATTATGTGCACCAATATAAAATATTTCACCTACAATACATAAAAGTAAAGCATGGAGGAGTAAAGTCATAACATTTTTCTTTTTTTTTAATATTCAAGAAAATTGCAATTTCACATCTTTTGAGATCCTTTTTTATACCTGTAATCACTGGTGTTTTGCTGCAAAATGACAAAATGATTACGAATGAGAAGACTGATGCTGTGAGCTGGTGTTGAGGCTGTGATTTGAGTTCCCTGTAGGAGGCTAGTTTGTGCAAAAATGCTTAAGTGGTTGCTGGAAAATTTGCACATACCATTTTATTGAAGGGTTGTGAGGCTCTATGGGTGATGTATTGCTTTGCTTTTTTGTGTGTTGGTAGCATGAACTGGTATTAGATAATTCATTTTAAACCATATGATGAAGATATTTGGCAAATCATGAGAAACCTGTCAAGGGTCGTGTTACATCCCAATATTAAAGGTAAAAAAAGTTAGGAATTATGTTTTGCATAAAGAAAATTATGCCTCTTTTTATTTTATTTTATTTTACTTTATATTTTATATTTTATTTTTAATAGATTTAATAATTGTATTTATTTAGAATATTGAATGACAATTAAGCACATTAATGCAGTATTTTTTAATTAATAAAAATAATTTTAATAATAATAATAATAATAGATTAATAATATTTTAAACCAGTATAAAGGCAGCACAAAAAAATACTGCCATGATGTATAATAAAAAATTAAAAAAAATTATGTATAATTTTTTGTTTTGCATTCCAGTAAATAAAACAAAGTTTTTAAATTGTGATAATTTTGCAATATGGTTAACAGTTTGAAGTGTAAATGTCACATGCTGATTGACAATTAAGCACATTAATGCAGTAGAAGTAATAAAAATTGTTAATTAATAATAATAATAACAGTAAATAATAATAAAAAAATACTACCATGATGTATATTTGCTTTATCATTTAAATAATATATCTTATTATCTTATCTGCATACAAATTGAGATCATACAGTTTTTAAATTGTGATAATTTTGCAATATACTGTAGTAAAGAATTTGGGGGTTAGATATCCTTAATTTTTAAGAAAATTGTAGCATAATGCACCTTAATAATCCTAAAATAGATTAATTTTTATTTAATTGAATATCCAGACATGTTCTTGACGGGGTTTCGTGAGATTCCCTTATATAGGTTAGTTTAGACTGTGATAGGAAACAAATCTCTAAGCTGTCACACCGGCTGGAGAAGATGGTTCAATCAGACACTGCAGAACCCTGATCGGACGAGACTCGGCTCACAGACGCCTGAGCGCTGTCTGTCTGTGTGAGAGAGAGGCGCCACGGCAGGAGAGGAGACGCACGTCCCGAGCGCCTTCTCAGACAATACATCCACTCAAACATGTTCCTCCCAACTCCAGCTGACAGCCGCTCCGGCTGAATTAATATCAGGCGCTCGTATTGCGCAGATGTTTTCATGTTTGTAGCTACAGATTGTTGCATGAGAATTTTCCTGAGCTAAAAATACACATGCGATTTTTGACTTCTGACCCCGGCGCTCACCCCATCTGTCTGTAATAGGACAGTGCTGGTCTCCCAGATTGCCTAGGGCATGCACTCGGAGCGGTTGGGAGATTAGGGTTGGGGCGTGCGGATGTGCCCTCTGCTTCTCTACGTGGGCCGGAGCCCTGCACTGCATCTGAAATATTCATGCTGCTCTCAGGAGAGTTATTTCCCTGCTCTGACTGTTCTCAAACTTTTTGTGCACCATTGTGCAATTTTATATAATCAAAAACATACTTAACTTTGATACGCAAATGCAGATAAACGCATTATCCAATGCAGTGCAAGTGATGTGTTACCGTTCTGGAGTTTCTTTGAAATATATTAAATGTGCCATTAAACCAGATGTGTTATTCAGATGCCAAACATGCTGAAACTTTCTCAGCAAAATTCTCTCCAAACTATTTTTTCTCCATGATGCTAGTTGGCCTGCTAGAGAAAACTGTCCGACAGTTACTTTAATTTTCGCTATACTGTACTGTAATTTGCATTGCATTACATTGAATTTAAAGGGATAATAAAATAGTCATCATTTACTGTTATTTTAGTGTAATTGGGATGCTATTATTATTAATATTACTGATACTATTTTTATAGTTTAAATATATTAATATAGATTTTAATTTGTAATATCATTTTTTGCATATTTTGTAATATTTTATATTTATTTTTATTTTTAATTAGTTATGTCGATGTGTTTTATCTTTTTTTATGTTTATTATGTTTTTAATAGTTTTTATTAGTTTTTATGTAAGTTTTAGTTACTTTAGTGCATCAAGTTAAACTAAATGTTTTTTTTGTTTATTTTACATTGCACTGAAAGGGGTAATGAAATGAAAATTGTTGTCATTTACTTAACTCCAGTGCTATTTTAGTATAATTGAGATACAGTTTTAGTTTTATGAATATTTTAATTGGGTTTTATTTTTATATTTTAGCTATATTAATTTATATTTGAATTTTTAATATTTGAATTTTTATTTTTAATTGTTTTATATTTTTTAAATAATTTTAATTTTAATGTTAAAGTTAAAGTTTTAGTTATAGTGCTGTGTTTTGTCATTTTTTAAAATATGCGTATATAGTTTTTATTAATATTTTGAATTAGTTTCATTTCTATATTTTAATTATATTCCTTTTTATTTACATTTTTAATATTTCGCTTTTTAATATTTATTTATATTTTATATTTACTTTTAATTTTAGTTAACGCTTTAGTTGTCTTAGTGTGTTTTGTAATTGTTTTAAATATGCCTATATAGTTTTTATTCGTTTTTATGCAAGTTTCAGACCTCTATGCATTTCTTTCGTCTGAGTAAATGATGCCAGGATGTTGATTTTTTTGAGTGTTCTGTCCCTTTAAGTGCATTTATCTAGTCTGTTTCATACCACACAAACGTGCCGTATCAGCCAAGCCTTTTGATTGGCTCACAGCTTGTGATGTAAAGAAGAAATGCGATGATGCATTTCTCCAGGGTCTTCCATCTGTTCTGTTCTCCTTTTCCCAGTTGGGAGAAGGGCTCAGTATTCCCTGACGGACCGCTGTCATCTGCCGCCCTCAGATGTTTGGCTTAACGCACAGACTCACTCTGGAAATACACACACTCGCTAAGATTTACATCATTTACGTAAAATGCAATCCAAACAAGCACTTTGTTTAACAACTGCACTGCCAAAAAGTGTTAATTTGACTCTGGGTTGTCAAACACATGTGGCTTTATTCTGTCTGGGTCAGTGTTAATTGATTATAATTGGTGATGTGACTTTTGACAAGCTTCAAAACTGACCTTAGCGGAGAATTTGTGAATCTAAGTGTTTTGCTACGCTGTCAACATTGTTTTAGTCTAAACTTGATGTATGTTCTCTTTAAATAACAGCGTTTGAGGCGGAGTTTGCATCCGGGGCTTTTGAGACGGATTTCTTCCCCGTGGACCACCACCACCTCAGCCACCGGCCTGCCCACCCTCGAACCTGGGCCGGTCAGATGGGACCGCAGTGCCAGCATCAAAGCACCTCATGATGGCCCTTCCAGCAGGTAATAAACACTCCTTTCTTATTCAGATGCAATAAACACGGCAATCCGTGTTTACCTTTAGACTAACTTGCACAACTTCACAAATGAAACACAACTTAAAGGAATAGCACACCCAAAATGAAAATTTGTTGAAATGTACTCATGTACTCAAATTTGCAGTACCCTCAGGCCATCCAAGATGTAGATGAGTTTGTTTGAGATTTGGAGAAATGTAGCATTCCATCACTTGGATCCTCTGCAGTGAATGGGTGGCGACAGAATGAGAGTCCACACAGCTGATTCACTGCAGAGGTTTGATATGGTGATAGCATCGAGCTTTAAGCATTTCTTCATGCTTTTGTTGACCAGCCCAGATCACTTAAAATGACTGAATGTCATTGCAAAATATGTCTGTATCTCAAATGCTGCAGAATCGCCATTTTCACCATCTTCACCTTGCTTCCTTTTTGTTCAGTGTCTTTGGTGTTTTAGTGATTTTTAGTGGATGTCTGAAGACCTAGAGTAGTCCTAGCAGCTTCACAAACACAAAAGCGTCCAGTTGCTTCATTTTGAAGCATTTTATGTGTTGTTTTATTATTTCAAACCTAACAAACACCTTATTCATGAAATGTTTCGTTTGAGAAGTACGCTTGTGCAGTCTAAACTGATGTGATATTTTATCATTTAATGCAATTTGTCCAAACACTTCCCGGGCCGTTGTATGTGACTCATGAAGTGTTTTGAAGCAATAATAAATACTTTCTGAAAATATGAGTCCACAGAGAGTTTCTCAGGATTTATCTGACAGCACTTTTATCCGTTTGCCCTCATTTTGTTTTGTTTGTCATCATTGTCTCGTACGTTAGTGTTTCACACAGCTGTTGCGGATCGCCGTCAAGCGCTTGAACTTTCCAGAGCTCCTCCACGCTGCCTTACTCACTCCGTCTGAATGTTTGATTCAAATTTTATAATGTCCATCTTTGGGCATTTCTCCACCTTTCTACCTCTTATTTCAGCTTGAGTTATACAGACCAGCTAAAGTTCAGCCCATTAATACTGATATCCAGATAGCCATCTGCACTGTGTAGACAGAGAGTTTAAAGAGGCTTCCTGGTGACCTGAGAGCCCAGGTCGTGTTTAGATTCGGGCCCTTTTGAAATAAAAGCCCCGGTGAAAAATGGAGGGTCACACGGTTGCCTGCATGACCATATTGAGACTGGTTTTAAAGTGGCGGGTCTCCTGCGCAGCTTCTTAATGGATATCTGAAGAGTGTTCCCACAGCAGGAGGCCTGTTCGCTCCCATTTTTTAAAGTTGGCAGGAAAATTCAAGTTTAAATCCCTCTCCCAAAATAAGCCACTTGGACTGTTTTAACCCCAGAAAAAGTGCAAAAAGTTCGCCTTTTGAGAGGAAAAAGGTTATGCCGTGTGTATGTATACACACTAAAATACCACTGCACTGGAGTCTAAACAACAAAACCAGCATCTCTTTGGCAATAAATCAACATTACCATGTAAAACCATGAAATATCAATCATGCGTTTTCTCCTCTCTTGCAGTTTGGTGAACAGTGATTCATGGAACAACTCGGTTATGCTCGGCCTTTCCAAGAGCAGGTCCATGTCTGCTTCATACGCTGCCTCCTCCGCCACCAACCACATCTATAGCAAGAGCCGAAGAGGTACAGCGCTGTGTGTGTGAGAGTGTGTGTGCAGATAGCCATCTGCACTGTGTAGACAGAGAGTTTAAAGAGGCTTCCTGGTGACCTGAGAGCCCAGGTCGTGTTTAGATTCGGGCCCTTTTGAAATAAAAGCCCCGGTGAAAAATGGAGGGTCACACGGTTGCCTGCATGACCATATTGAGACTGGTTTTAAAGTGGCGGGTCTCCTGCGCAGCTTCTTAATGGATATCTGAAGAGTGTTCCCACAGCAGGAGGCCTGTTCGCTCCCATTTTTTAAAGTTGGCAGGAAAATTCAAGTTTAAATCCCTCTCCCAAAATAAGCCACTTGGACTGTTTTAACCCCAGAAAAAGTGCAAAAAGTTCGCCTTTTGAGAGGAAAAAGGTTATGCCGTGTGTATGTATACACACTAAAATACCACTGCACTGGAGTCTAAACAACAAAACCAGCATCTCTTTGGCAATAAATCAACATTACCATGTAAAACCATGAAATATCAATCATGCGTTTTCTCCTCTCTTGCAGTTTGGTGAACAGTGATTCATGGAACAACTCGGTTATGCTCGGCCTTTCCAAGAGCAGGTCCATGTCTGCTTCATACGCTGCCTCCTCCGCCACCAACCACATCTATAGCAAGAGCCGAAGAGGTACAGCGCTGTGTGTGTGAGAGTGTGTGTGTGTGTGTGTGTGAGTGTTGAGTGAAAGGAGATAAATGGGCTCTGGCAGTGCCAGTGTGATTCCTCTGCTCTCTGACAGGTTACCCTTCTTCCAACATCTCACCTCTGGCTTCACCCTGCAACTCCCCTCCAGTCCAGGGCACTCCGCTCACCAGCCCCACCAACAAAAGCCCTTCACTTGAGCTGCCGGACGCAGAGCTTCCGCCGGGCGACGGCCCGCCACCACGGAGCCCCCACAAAGCCTTAACCCACAGTCAGAGCGCCCCCAGCTCCAGCACCTCACAATGGGTGCCGCCTCCACTTTGTAGCAGGTAAAACCCCACCATTCTGTTGAGCTTCACACATTTCTGCACTGATTTTTTTGAGGGAAATTCATTTAATGTTTAAAGCAGAGCTTTGGGATCCAAAAGCATTGTAAAATTATCCAAAAATATTTAATAAACTAACATGCAGGTGTCGCGTCCACAAAACATCTATTCTATAATTGCATTTGCATATTAATCATCTCATTCTTATAATTTAAATATTCATTTCATATTCATTCTTGCTGTAAGGTATTACATTATATTTTATTATATTTTCCAAAATATTTAATAAACAAATATTCAGGTAGACCGTCCACAAAACTCAAAACTATGATTTCATATTTTCATATAAATCATTTAATTCTTATTCTATAAATATTAATTTTCATATCTATGTTTGTTAAAAACACTCATTGCAATGTATTTAAAATTAATTGTTATTATAATTTTAAAAATATGTATTAATAAACATGCAGATGTAGTGTCCACAGAACTTAAATATATAATTTGATATTTGTATATTAAGTGAATTCTCATACTTGAAATATTTATTTTCATATCTATGTTTGTTAAAAAAATTAAGCATTATTTTTTATTACATTACACAAAATATTTAATAAACAAATGCAGGTGTAGCACCCACAAAACCATAATTTTATATTTGCATATTAATATCTTTCTCATACTTAATTTTGATATCATCTGATTTTAATAACGACTCTTGTTGTAATTTAATTTGGAACTGTAATTATACTCCAGTCTAGTTATTATATTCACTTCATTTGCCTTTAAATATGTGCAAATGTTGTTTTACAAGTAGTATTTCAGTGATATTGCTGAGAGAACACACGATATGAGTTGTAAAAAGCCCAGCCTTTTATTAAAGAGTTACCCAAACAATAGGATCGACCGCAGTAAGTCATTTTAAGTGTACTGGGAAATGTGTCGATTTTTTCTCTTTTTTTTTTTTCTTTTTTGAGGAATTTTGCTTGTTTGGATTCCTTGCAGGACTACTAATGAGTAATTTTGAGAACAGACAGCTAGTTAATATTCATTTTGAACCCAATTCATCACTCCGGTCACTGTTTCAAAATATCTGAGCGTATCCTGTGGCCCTGGATGTTGTACAAGAGTGGACTGCAGCTTCAAGCCATTATGTGGTTACTGAACAACCACTGATCATTAACTGTGAAAAATACCCAACATTGTGTCTAAATATTAACAGATGGACGAACACGGTCAGATCTCTCTCTCTCTCTCTATAGGTTTTACTCAGAGTGATCACTAATGTCCTGGCGATGGGACAAGGTCACCTTCCCCTTGGCCCGTAATGAATGCTGGGCACAGAGAAACAGCTTGATTAGGTTCTGTCTGGCCCGTTAATTCAGAGAGCTCAACTAAACAACAGTGACAACGGCTGGCACACACACACACACACGTGTACAGCACATATCATCAGGGGTTAGTCACCCAGAGAGGACGCCTCTCAATTTCAATGCAAAATATTAAAATATGCAATCATGAAATGCATACAGTATGCACGCATCAGCCGTTTCCTGGCTCTCCTAACTCATACAGCATAAAAACATGAAGCGTAATGAACAGATTCCAGTGCCTGCGATGATAGATAGTGTCTTTTTCTTGTTCTTAAAGGAATGTTCCCGAAGTCAACATAAAATGGCATTCGCAACGCATTTTTGTTTCATAATGTGGCTTATTTCTGAGTGAAACAGGAGAACATTCTGTGAGGGGAACAAAGGAGATTGGGAATTGATTCAATTCCCAGTTATTAAAATTTAATTGATTGTGAAAATTATGAAATTTGATGAAAGCAAATAGCTGTTTTTATTACTATTATTATTATTATTATTAGTTGTAGTTGCAACCCAAAAACTAATAAAGTCATGAAATAAAACATGAAATAAATATTAACTGATAAATCATGCACTATAAGACCAGGAATGTACTGAAAAAGTAAATTATTATTATTATTATTATTATTAGTTGTTGTTGTTGTTGTTAAAATGCAGCACAAGAAAATAACAGCAAAAAACTATAATAAAACAAATAAATAAAAAAGTGAAATTTATGGAATTTGCTATAAGTTTTTTTTATTTACTTATTTTTTCATTATTCATTTATTTGTAATAACATTAACTGATAAATCATGCACAATAAAACCAGGATAATATACTGAGAAAGTAAATTGGTGTTTTTATTATTGTTGTTGTAGCTGTTGATAAACTGCAAAAACCTTTAATTAAACATGGAATAAATAAGACAGCAAAAAAGAAAGAAAGAACGAAAGAAAGAAAGAGAAAGAGAGAATGTGATTTGATTTGATCCATTGGGACTTGATTCAGTCGTGAAAATGATTTTGGAGTTTGATTTACTCCGTTTATGTATGATTAATTGATTTGATGTGAATGGTTTGTTGTGTGTGTTGTAGCTGTGGAAGACGGTACGGTAAACTGAGACACGTGGAAGGATCCATAGATGCAGGAGATCGAACCCAACAGTCAGGTATCGCCACCGTCATGTGCGTTTCTGAATTAGCATTTAGATGCATTTTGCTGTTGTGATCTGTGATATTACAGCTCGATCCTGGATTGTATCTCTGAATTAATATGTAATTGGTGTCTTCACGAGTCTTTCAGATCTGTCAGTCTGCTCGAACGTGAAACATGACGAGACGCGTAATTAGGTTTTTTAATAACCTTGCAGACGAGCTGCTGATAATGTCGTCAGACTATGAGACCAACCACAGTGACAGCAGCGACATTGCACAGAACGAGGAAGACGGAGAGGGTCGCATGAAAGCCTGCGGGACGTTCCCGTCTCCGGCGCTCGCACTGGCCGCTCTCATCCCACCAGAGGTAAACACCGCTTTTGCAGGACAAATTGATTTTTTATCACTGCAATTTAGTTTAGGCAGGTAGATGGGGTTTTTTTTCCTGTCAGTTTTACAAGCCTACAAGCAGTAAAATTACACAGTATAAAGAGCTGCATAAAATCTATAATGCACAAAAATACATCAATTGCATAATAAATAAGTGGTTTACATGCACTACTCTGGGGTTTTTTTTTTTGGGATCATCAAATTGTCATCATATTGTCATCAAAACTAATCATTGTAAAATAATCGTTTTATTTATTTATTTATTTTCTTTAAATATTTTTATGCATTGTTTTTACGTCTAAAGGGCCAGGATGATTCAATGTTAATGATTCAATACTGTATTTCATTAAACAATAAATGTCAATGCATAGATCACATTTTCTCTCTTTTTTTATTATATGTTTTTTAAATATTTTTCTTATATTATATAATTAAAGTTTAAAAAACAAGTATAAAATGATTGTTTATTAAAATTTAGCAACTTTGTGTATATTTTATTTGCTAATGTTTTATTACATCAGCCACAATACTAGATATTATTAGATATCATATTATGTTTAGTTTTTTTGTACTTTATATGTCTAAAGGTTGAGGCCAGGATAATTAAATGGCTGAAATGATGATTAAATAAAATTTTTTGTTAAATAATAAAAAAGAATGTTAGTGTATAGTGCATATTTACTTTTTATTGTATTGTATTTTTCATCTCTTTTTTTCTGGTCAGTGTTAGAGGACCTACAAGCAGTAAAAATACACTGTATAAAGTGTTGCATAAAATATGCAGTATGCACGCAGTCTGCAGAAAATGTATAATGCACAAAACTACGGCAATAGCTTAGTAAATAAATAAGCGTTACGTGCAATTCTCAGGGTTTGTTTGTTCCAGTAGAACTAAACTGTCATCAAATTGTCATCAGAACTAATCACTGAGCATTTGATTTGTTTTCGCTGTGGTTTGTTGACAGACTCTTTTTGTGTTATATGCTGTTTTAACTACTCTCTGTAGTAGTTTCGTATGTGCCACTTGATTTTTATTTATTTTTTTGTAATTCCAGTTATGTCTAGTGGGTTTTTTGTTGTAAGATGGCACAGTCCGTGATCTGAAATCATTTCCTCTGCAGGATAAGCCCATCTTGGCCCCGGAGTCACTGGTGATGGAGGGCCTGGAGCCCCTCATGAGTCAGATCAACAACTGGAACTTCCCCATCTTCAGTCTGGTGGAGAGAACCAACAGCAGATGTGGCTGCATCCTCAGCCAGGTGAGACACTGACATCTAGTGGAGTATATGGAGTATATGGTGACCCATACTCGGAATTAGTGCTCTGCATTTATCCCATCCAAAGTGCACACACACAGCAGTGAACACACACACACCGTGAACACACACCTGGAGCAGTGGGCAGCCATTTTTTTGCTGCGGCGCTCGGGGAGCAGTTGGGGGTTCGGTGCCTTGCTCAAGGGCACCTCAGTCGTGGTATTGAAGGTGGGAGAGAGCGCTGTACATTCACTCCCCCCACCTACAATCCCTGCCGGTACGAGACTCGCATATTAAAATCATATGTCCTTTTGAGAACCCATAGCATTATTGTTTGGAACCTTTTGTTTAATTTCAGACATGGTTGAGGGATTTTAAGCTTTTTTTTGTTTAGGTGTCTTACCGGTTGTTTGTGGACACGGGACTCTTTGAGACATTCAAGATTCCAGTGAGGGAGTTCATGAACTATTTCCACGCTCTGGAGAACGGATACAGGGACATCCCATGTGAGTCCTGGTGCTGCAGGAGACATGTGTACAGAAATATGTTAACAATGAAATAACTGATGATGTACAACAGCTGCTGTGCGCAAGCACCTTCTCCTCCAGAGGAATAAATTGCTCTAAATCATCAGTTCTGCTTCTTTGTGGTGTGTTGTGTCTCCCTCTAGTGGTAGTTTACCGTATTAAACCTCGTCTTCCTCCACAGATCACAACAGGATTCATGCAACAGACGTCCTCCATGCGGTTTGGTACCTCACGACCCAGCCTGTGCCTGATTTACCTACACTGGCATCACTGAGTGACTCGGGTAAGAATCACACTTTATTACAGTTTGGACGGGTTAATAAGGACATACAGTGGAAATTATTTAATGCCTGTAATTCAAAAGTATATATTTAGTTTGATTACTTCTTTTTATATAGACTAGATATGTGTACTTTCATATGTTTATATTTATATGCTCATGTTATCTATGTTAATAAATGTAACACCATGGTCCTGTGAGGCATCAGTGTTATTTTAGTATCATTAAGAAAGATACTGTTATAGTTTTATTAATATTTGAATCAGTTTTTATTTATATATTTATGTTTTCATTTCAATTTTAGTAAATGTTTTAGTAGTTTTTAGCAGTTTTGTCTTTTTTGTAGTTTTTGTTTTTTTAATATAAATCTATATATCTATGTATTTAGTCATTTTTATTTCAGTTTTAGTACAAGTTAAACTAAATTAATGTTGCCTTGCCAACTAGCTGAAATAAAAGCTTTTTATATTTTATTCTATTTTGAGCTTTTATTTTTATATTTTCCATTTTCATTTCAATTTTAGTTGTAGTAATTTTGTCATGTTTTTATTTTTATCTCTATATGTATTTACTGATTTTTATTTTTAGTGCATGTTGAGAAGTGCTGCCTTGCCAACTAGATGAAATAAAAAAGCTTTGTATATATTTATGTTTGTAATTTGTAGTTTTTGTTTAAAATAAGAATTAAAATTAATAACAATAATATAATCATTTATGAAGAATACCTATTATGCAGTTTTCATATGTATATACCAGAGCTCATTTACATATGCACTGCAAAATAAGTTTTATTTAAGTGAATAAAGATTATTGGAATATGTTTCATACCGTTACGTTTCAATACCATTTCAGTCGTTCTGATTTAATTTATTTAATTCAATATGTTACTTGCCATTTCTTTGTCATTATTTTGTAAAGTAAATCCTACAGCAAATGTATTTCAGTGATTAATTGTAAGAGACATGATAATGAAAATTAAATTATGAGTGTTTTATACGGTGGTCCAGAGAGCTCAACATGCTGCAACTGACGAAAACACATGCAAATTGAAAAAGCACCAGCAAATAAGAAAATCTGTTTGACAACACGTGTGCTGCAAATTCTCATAACACAAGCCAATACAGAAACACGCTGCAATACTCACAACATGACCAAATACAGATCAGGATGTTAAAATAAACAAAAACACACCTTGCAGGTGATCGATTAGACATGCAATAAGTATGTCCCAGCCAATTTCATCACTTGTAGGGATCCTCTTGAAACACTTCCGTTGTGGTCTGTGCTCTTTGCAGCGCGTTTCAGTATTTGGTTGTTTTGTGAGTATTTGCAGCACCTATGTTATCAAACTGACAAAGTTGTTTTCTTAATTTGCTGGTGTTTTTTCTGTTTGCATGTGCTGTTTGCAGCTTGTTGAGCTCTCTCGGTCTAAAATGTAGTTTTACACAAAAAAAAATGGCTTAAGAAACAATTTTCACTCAGAAATTGCTCGTAAATTTCACAAACAATTACAAAGAATTGGCAAGTGAAACATTGAATTAAATGTGAACTGAAATAGTATTTTCTTGTAAAACATACACTTTTATTTACAACTTCAAATCATTTCTTACAGTGTAGGTGTATGAGACCTTGACTAACATTATAAGTGAACTTCAGGGAAACAAACTGAAATGCTTTGAAGAGATATAAAGATTGTTAATCACTCTCTCTCTCTGTCTATAGACTCTGACGGTGGACTCGCTCACAGCCACTCAAAGTACCTGATGTCCACGACGTATCCTGTAGAGGAGGAGGGTTACAGCTGTCTGTCCGGCCTCATCCCCGCTCTGGAGCTGATGGCGCTCTACGTAGCAGCCGCCATGCATGATTACGACCATCCCGGCAGGACCAACGCGTTCCTGGTGGCCACCAGCGCTCCTCAGGTGACACACCACACCATCATCACACAACACTGGGAAACAACTGTTCAGCTTTCATTGCATGGCATGGTTTTTCTTCAAGTGTTTACAAGGGAGTGCTAATTTCCTCATATTGTAATATTAAGCACACGTCGTGCTTTCTTAGGAATCATAGAGGTACTTCTACTAATACAGAGGTAGAATTAATGACGAAAGTACCTTCTATAATAATTAACAAATATGTGATTTCATCAAATCAAGAAACAAACAAGGCTGGTGTTTACTTAAAAATGCTGTGTAGCATAGAAGCCTTCACAAAATTGACAGGTGTCATGAACTATTATCTATATGTATATATACTGTACATGTACATAATAATTAATTACACCTATACATATATGTGTGTGTGTATGTATATATATATATATATATATATAGTACATGTAGCATTATTTGATCAAAAATACAGTAAAAACAGTAAGATTGTGAAATATTATTCCAATTTAAAATAACTGTTTTCTATGTGAATATATAGTGAAATGTAATTTATTCTTGTGATCAAAGCTGAATTTTCAGCATCATTACTCCAGTCTTCAGTGTCACATGATCCTTCAGAAATCATTCTAATATGCTGATTTGCTGCTCAGTTATTATTGGTGCTCAGTTTTTAATAATGGTTCTTATTATTATCAGTGTTAAAAACAGTTTTTGGTGCTTCATATTTGTCAGAAAACTTTTTTTTTTCAGGATTTTTTGATGAATAGAAAAATCAAAATAACAGCATTTATTTGAAATAGAATCTTTTGTAACATTATAAATGTTTTACTGTCATACTGTGATTAATGCATATTTGATGAATAAAAGCATTAATTTATATATATATATATATATATATAAAACACATACACACACACCCCATACATTAGAATGGAAATATATAATATAGCTTTGTATCATAGGAATAATTTTTTTTTAATATATATATTCACATAGAAAACAGCTATTTTAATTTGTAATAATATTTCACAATATTACTGTTTTTGCTGTATTTTGATCAAATAAATGAAGCCTTTGTGAGCAGTAGAGTGGTCTTTAAAAAACATTTAAAAAATCTTAATTATTACAAACTTTTGACCAGTGGAGTTTGTGTGTGTGTGTGTGTGTGTGTGTGTGTATATATATATATATATATATATGATATTACTATACACAGCAGTTGTTTTCCATTGTTCTGAGGTCTTGAAACATCTGAATTGCCATAAAAGTCTTTTGTGTGTCTTTGAAGGCTGTGCTTTATAATGACCGTTCGGTGCTGGAGAACCATCACGCAGCGTCTGCCTGGAATCTCTTCATGTCGCGGCCTGAGTACAATTTTTTGGCCAGTCTGGACAACATGGACTTCAAACGCTTTCGCTTCCTGGTCATCGAGGCCATACTGGCCACCGACCTCAAGAAACACTTCGACTTTCTGGCTGAATTCAATGCCAAAGTGAGCACCTCTGATATTAGATATACATATATAGAGCAACTAATGCTGTGCACTTTATTCATTTATGTATTTTGTGTTTGTAGGTGGGAGATGATGGATGCTCAAGCATTGATTGGACTAATGAGAATGATCGTCTGCTGGTCTGTCAGATGTGTATTAAGTTAGCGGATATAAACGGTCCGTTGAAAAGCAAGGAGCTTCATTTGCAGTGGACGGAAGGCATCGTCAATGAGTTTTATGAACAGGTCAGTGTCTACTCTTTGATGCATGTTTATGTCTGAAGTCATTTTCGAGCTGTTCAGTCACAGCCGAGACAAACAGGAAGCTCTCACGATGTCTAAGTGCCTGGTAACCACACCTCACGCTCATAGAGGCTGTGGTAATGCACACACGTAACCTCACAGCAACTACGCGGCATCTCGGTATCATTCACATCGAGTGGATGGAGAGGATGGCACGGATACGCTGTTGCCTGGCAACCGTCCACATCCTCCTCAAGCGGTGCTGAAGGAACACGTTCACAGCTGTATTGAGAATGCAGGGCAGAAAGTAAGCAAAGTTTTACATCGGTTCGGTCTGCCGGAAATGATGTTTTCAGTGGAGAAGAACATTTACAAGCAAAACAAGCTATTCAGTGATGATAAACAAAATGAATCGGCTGATATTTGGCCAATTAAAGTTGTCATGAAATCAATTGGCTCTATTTACTTTGTTGGTGCACATTATTCTAAAGAATAAAATGTTCATTATCATTCATCAAAACATTCTGTTCAGCTGACACCATCAATCCTTATCTTTTTCCTTTTCAACCTCTCATCTTGTCCATTTAAAATCCTTTATCACTCAGAAATATGTCACATTAGATGAGTAAAATACAAACGCCTCTCCTTTATTGATACTTTATTATTACACTGCAAAAGAAAAAAAAATCTAGTATTTTTCTCTTGTTTTCCGGTACAAATATCTCAACATTTTTTAATATTCGATACATTTACTTGAGCACCTAGATGACAGAAGATATTTCAAGTGTTGTTTTCTGAAAAAATGTAGTGAGATTATACTTAAAATGAGAAAAAATCAATAGGGTCAGAAAAATAAACTTAAATCAAAAGTAATCAAGATGATTTTTTTATTATTCTAATTATTATTTTTGATATTAACTCACTTCATTTTTCAGATAAGTTAGGATTCTCACAGTTCTGTTTTATATCTCACAGTTCTGAGTTTATATATCACAATTTAGCTTTATATCTCACAATTCTGAATTGATTTTATGCTTAAAAAACATCCTTCAGTGGGATCAGAAAAATAAAATCAATTATTTTATTGAGAAAACAATTATTTTTCTTACGCCTTTGACAGATTTTTTTTTTTTTCTTATTTTAAATGCACTTCACTCTGATAACATTTTCAGTTCAGAAAACAAGACTTATTATCTTAATTAAATTTTCTTCTCAAGTAAATGTATCTTGATTTAAGAATTTTCAGATATTTGTAATGGAAAACAATACAAAAATGCTAAGAAAGAAAGTAATTTTTCCCAGTATATGAAAGACATTTGCTCTCGTCAAAATGCTAAATGTTGTGTAAAATGCATGTTTAAAGTGCATTACATATTAGCATAATATTGGCCAAACTTGATTGACCGGTACGGTACGTCATACACGCTTGTTCAACCATGATTTCCTATATTCCATTGTGCGTTTCTCTAAGAGTTAAGGGCTTGTTGGATGCAGCAATGAGTAATAAAACACTGCGTCTATTATTGTGAGGAACACAGAGTGAGGATGACCCAGTTGTGTCAGGACCCCGTCACTGAGCTACAAAGCGTCATATGACCACCCCTGGCCATATTCAGCGCATTTCAAAAGGGACCAGAAATTATATGCTTCAAAGGAGCCTGCTTTTCCCCTCCCTGTTTCGTTTCTTGAATGATTCATTTCTCCAGCACTTCTGAGTAGCACCTGACAGAACACAGCGCACATACATTACTGCCCTCTGACGACATCACCGCGCGGTTGCCATGGCAACTTGAGACCTTGCCTGTTGTTATGCCGCTCTCATAGTTTATTTCCAGGTACTGCGAAGCATATGTTTTCATGTGGACTATATGATGTTCTTCCAATCTCTGATTACTTACTTATTTCAATACTGTAATATGAAATAAATAATTAAAAAGCCCAGGCCTCGCGTGGTTGGGTGTATTTCCCCCGTCCATGGGAAGGTTGACCTAGTTTTATAGCAGTCGAATGTCTGTGAAGTATGTTTCTCTCCTGAACTGGAAAAATCCAATCAAGTGTGTGACTCTTCAGCTGTGCTTGAATATACTGAGCATACTTTTCCCTTCCTGGTAATATAGTTATTTGTTTAATGTAATAGATGAGTATAAAATAGCTGCTGCATAAATAGAGTTTTCTTTGTAAATGTGAAGAAAAATGCTTCAAATCAGGCATCAATAAGATCAGATTAAACTGCATTATATGGAGCATTTCTGAATCAAAATGAAATGCATATTTGCAACATCACTGAATGCATTTCTTTTCTCAGGATGAATTTTAGATGTGAAATGATGTGATGCTGCTTTCATATGCTTGTTAATATGAGGAACGCTGTCTGGTGACATCAATTCCCATGATGCTCTTCATCCAAATACAACTGGAGAAGGGAGTGCAGATGAAGGACAATGTTAGTTTCAGTTAATTTAATTTCAGAAAATTGGAAGCTTGTTTACACCATAGGATTTTTAAAAAAAAATATCCTGCTTTGGATAAAAAGCGTCTGCTAGATGCATAAATGTAGGTAGATGTAAATCAAGCGTAGCGTTAGTTCTGACAGGTCACGTTAGTCAAGCTTGCATCAGCTGGACAGAATTGCAGCTTTTTTCATCTCACAATTTGGACTTTGTTTCTTGCAGTTCTGAGAAAATATTCTGCAATTCTTAGATTTTTTTCTGACACTGAATAAAAAGTTTAAAAGGTAGTTGCAACTTTTTCATCTCACAATTCTGACTTTTTTCCCCCGCAGTTGTGACTTTGCAAGTTTATATCTCATAATTCTGCATTTATATCTCAATCCTGCGTTTATATCTGGCAATTCTGTTTATATCTCGCAATTCTGTGTTAATATCTCGCAATTCTGAATTCTGAAGGAATTTTTATCCTGTGGCGGAAATGGGCTTCCATATTATAGCAACAAAAAAGCATTTCAAATGTTATTCCACTTAGAGTCAATATGAAACAACATACTTCTGTAATGTGGGCAGAACGTGATTTTTCTATTAGAAATGATCCATTGGGAATTGATTGGGTTGAAAAATGGGCGTTCCATTCTTGCAGCCTAAATGTCTGTTCACATCAAGGGCAATAACTATAATGATAACTATAAAGGTTTAATAATTGTTTTATTAATTGTGAGTCCACACCATAACCATAATGACAAAGAGGAACGATATCATTATCAAATATCGAACCACTTTCAGACAGATTTCTTCCATGTGGTGAACATTGATCAGAATCCATCCTGCTTTAAAGAGCTCGAACATTTAAAGCAGTAGGCGAAAAAACTGCAGCACGCAATTATAATAAACAGAACGATATTGTGCATTGGTCTGGATGCAAATATAGTTTTCATTATAGTTACCTTTATAGTTCCTGTTCTTGGTGTGAACGGGCCTTTACACATAATTCTTTCTTTCTTTTATATGTTTATATGCATTTTCTCTTCATTCTGGTGTTTCAGGGTGATGAAGAGTCCAGTTTGGGCCTTCCCATCAGCCCTTTCATGGACCGTACAGCACCACAGTTGGCCAAACTGCAGGAGTCCTTCATCACACACATCGTCGGGCCTCTCTGCAGCTCTTATGATTCAGCCGCCCTCATGCCCGGCCACTGGGTCGACCCTCTGCCCAAAGAGGGTGAAAATGCTGAGGAAGAGACGGATGAAGAGGAGGAGGAGGAAGACACACCGGAAGAAGACGCCTCCACCAGCTCAGAACTTTCCCGTGAGTTCACGTTTTTTCCTGAAACTTTGCAGATTAAGTATAATATCTAGTCCAAATTGCATTAATGTAAGAGCACGGACTCAATTTTACATTTGTTCCTTATTCAAACTGAACTGAACTTACAGTATATATATATATATATATATATATATATATATATATACAGTATATGTTCATGATAGATGAAGACTGCAGTCAAGGTAAAGACGATTGCGGTGGCTTACAGGAGTCGTACAGTAAGCACGCGTCAGTCCATTATAATAATGCGTGTATGAGTGCTCTTGACGCACTGATCGCACATTGTATTTATGCACAGGCACAGACATTTCCGTATGTTCACGTTGTTTCCACACACATTCGCGATAATGTTTTGATTTGTCATGTGTATGTTGCTGTGTCATGTGTTAGTTATTCTGAATTGATCCGTGTACTGTAGTAGATATATGCAGTCAGCAGGCGGTCTCCATGTGGTCCTGTTCGGTATCACAACTTGGCTTCTCCTCAGATTCCAGATTTTCTAATAGTTGTATCTCAGCCAAATATTGTCCTAACAAACCATACATCAATGGAAAGCTTATTTATTCAGCTTTAAGATGATGTATAAATCTCAACTTCGAAAAATTGACCCTTATGACTGGTTTTGTGGTCCAGGGCCACATATATATGTGATGCGATCTGGGAAAACGTGACGTGACGTGACATGTGGCCAGGTATGGTTACCCATACTAGGAATTAGTGCTCTGCATTTAACCCATCCAAAGTGCACACACACAGCAGTGAACACACACCCGGAGCAGTGGGCAGCCATTTATGCTGCGGCGCCCGGGGAGCAGT